AATTATGACCCCACAGGAAAAAATTCTGGGTTCGCCGTTGGTCATAGCCATGAGCATTTTATCCGAAACTCAAAAACCGAACCATAACCGAACTGAAAAAATCGACACCAAAAACCGGATCAAAAATTACAAAAATCCGAACGGTTCCTATTTCTCTAAATTCGAAAAACCGAAACCGAATCGAGACCGAACCGAAAACCAAACGGGTATCCGAATATAAAAACATAATAAAAAAATATTAATTATTTTTAGTTTTAATATAAATAAAATGTAACTTTTTTAAAAAATATCTAAAAACCCGAATATTTTCCGGGTTTAACTCGGTTTTTTGGTTCTTTATTTTTGTTTTTTGACTTTAAACCCGAACAAAACTCGAACTATTTCTAATTCGGTGCCACTTTGGGTTTTATAAAAAAAATAGAAATCCGATCCGAACCCGACACTACCCGAACCGATCCGATCCAAAAATTTCCCGGTTCCTTAACAGTTACTAAACACCCAAATCCGAATAACCCAAAAGCCGAATAATCCGAACCGACCCGAACCGAAAACCCCAATTCCCAACACTAGTTGGTCACATGACGTACCCTAATCGTCCTTTCACAGGATTTTTTTGATTGGTTGTTGAATTAGATTTGAGTTGTGGTCTGTTTTTTGAGCATTATGTTAATCATCATCAACGTAAAATATGAATATATATAAAAGTAAGCTTATAAAGATATCCCTACGGTGTTACAAAAAAAAAAAAAGATATCCCTACTATTTGCTCTTTTACAGTAAAGCTATATATACTCTTTCACTTGCAAAATTTGTAAAGTCAGTGTACAGTTTACATATTATTAAATAAGGGTATATTAGATGTCGCAGAAGATTTTTTTTTTGTGTTTGGTAAAACTCGTAGAAGAATTATTAATACATGTGCAGTTGAATTACATATTCGTCTCTTAGCAAAAAGAGTACACATCTAAGTTTGCGTGTTATATTTTTTTTGACAAAAGGGCTTAGTTTGCGTGATATATTTCGGCACTACTATTACTAAAATCATATATCAACAATCATTTTTGATAATACTCCACAAACTAGATAAAACATAATAAACAATCACTCAACAATTCTTTTTTTACCGAACCGGTTGGCGCTTCATCATTTTTTTTTTAAAAAAATTGAACAATCTTATTGCAAAGCTTCTAACATGAGTTCTTTCTCAGGAAAAAAAAGCTTCTAATTAACATGAGTTTTCATACTTCAAAAATTATGCGTACATTACATATTTTGAAGTGTACATATTATGTGATTACTTTTGTATACTTCATAATTTAATAGTTTCTACAAAATAACTTTTTTTTTTTGAACACACTACAAAATAACTTATGTGAGAACTTCTTACACTTATTTGATCTGGAAAATTTTAAATTCAAACTTCATTATTAATAGTACTTAAACAGAAACGTGAAACTAAAATGTTAATTTTATATCATAGTAGAAGTTATTAGACTAATAGAAGGTTATTAGACTAAAATGTTAATATTATTACTTCAAACTGAAATGTAACATAAAACATTTTACTTGTAAATGGCAACATGTCGTTTTTCGAAGTACAGCTGACGAAATCCTGGAATCCAGATTCAGTGCTTGGAACTTTACCTGCTTGGACGTGAATATTGACTTCTTAAAAAAACATAATTAGTGAATTTTTTATAACAAGATATTTAAAAAATTAGTAGAAAAAAAAAGAGATTATAAAATTGAAACATGAAAGAAGCTGTCACAAAAAATGACACGACATGGATGCTAATTGGTGCAGGAGAGAAACAGCATCTAGGCTTCTATATTAAATAGAAGGTTTACTCACACGTAGTCACGTACCACTGCGTCCATTTCCTAAAGCCGATAATATTCTTTCGAGGAAATTCCTCACGTGAGACGGAAACCCTAGCCGATGGCATTTAAATATCCCATATGGCATTTACTTGACCTCTCTTTACAAAACAAAGCGAAACCACGTAGAAGAAGACCTCTTGACTCATGATGGGCTCCTAAAAAATTCAAGATTGTTTTCAATCTTTTTTTTTTTTTTCAAATGGAAACAAATATAGTTGGGTTTAGGTTTTGTCCAACGGACGAGGAGCTGATAAACTATTTTCTAAAGAACAAGATTCAAGGCAAACCATGTTCTGTAGACGATACGATTGGAGAGGTTAACATCTGTAGTTACGATCCAGCTTCTTTGCCAGGTGAGTTTTTCTTCACCTTTTAGTGTTTTTTTTTTGTAATACAATAATCATAAATGAAAAATATGATTGCAGCATTATCGATGATCAAATTGAAGGATCCTGTATGGCACTTCATCTCTCCAAAGGTGTACACGTCCACGAAGAAGAACGTAACGAAGAGGACAACACCTTCTGGGTTTTGGAAATCTACCGGCAACGATCGGAATGTAAGGAAGGACAAAAAAAGAAACGGTGTTGTGATTGGTACTAAAAAGACGCTTGTGTACCATGAAGGTATGTCTTCTAGTGCAGTTAGGACTCCTTGGACTATGCATGAGTATAACATCACTTGTTTGCCTCTTGTTGATCAGGTAAACAATTTATCAGTTTTTTTTTTGAACTTAGTAGCTTAATTAATATTTTTTGTATGTATCATTCAACTGATCATCATTCCCTAATCAAATCGTTAGGTTCTTTTTTTTTTTTAAATCAGATTTGATGGTTCTTTTTTTTATGTGTGTGTGCGTGGATATAACAGAAGCTTCTACGAACAGAGAACTTATAGTCATATATAGTTTATGTTCGAAGTTTGCATATAGAAAACTATAGTTTTTTTTTTTTTGGTCAAATAGAAAACTATAGTTATTTTGTAACCGGGTAAAGAGAACTATACTAAACTATAGTTGTATATTATTATGGTCGATAACTCGATACACTGGATAGAAAAGCAACCATGACTTTTTTTCATATATGTGCGTTAGGTGAGATATATAACGGAAATTTTACTCTTTTATGTATTTCTACATTTAATCCCAGTTTTGCTAACCTATTTGTTTTCTTCAAATAATACGTACACCTGCATTTTTAATTATGTTTTGCAAAGTCACTGACAACAATTCTGAATTAGATTTATTTTTGTCTTTCTCCTACCGTCTTTTTCTTTATTATTATTTAAAAGATATTAATCATAACGTTTTAAATATTCGCATAAATTGTAACAAATTAATTTGTGTTTGTTCCTATTTGCTTTCCAAATTTCAACTATTTTGTAATACAATAATGTTAATAAAAATAAATTTTGACATCCTTACTTTATTTCATGATACGTGAATTATGCATACTACATCACTCAGATTAAAGTTTTGACAAGTTATCTACTAAAATTTAATCATTTTTTATTTTGTTGGTTACTGTTTAATCAGATGAATTCTTTTTCTCCATTTATGATTTTGTAAGAAGAAATCAAATATAGTATCTGTTCTAATATTTTATTTACTCCACACTTTTCTTTCTTATAAAATAAGATGCTAATGGAAAAAATATCATCTTTCCGTCATGTAACCTTTTAATTCAAAAAAAAAAACCCATTTAGTTCACTTTTGTATGTTGGGGTCAGAAACGCTCTGTCATTATTAATTTTTTTTTGTTTTGTCATTATTAAATTGCCTACTCATATATATGCCATTTTCTAACGTATACACTTACACAAACCGTCTTGCCTGTGTGTGTAACTTTGGGACTTGTTTAGAGGAACTATGTTGTTTGCAAGATATTTTATAAGGGCAACGTTGGAGATATCCCATCCGGTAGCAACTCAAGTGAACTAAGTCACTCTTTTGTCACTGATAATTCAAACGTAGTCGGAGCGGCCAACACACCACCTCTAGTGAGTCCGGTTTCTGAGATATTCCATTTTTAATACAAATAAAATATCAGTTTCTCGATTTTGTATTTTACTCCCACATCTTTTACATTTTCAGGGTGACCAGGGTGGTGAAGAAAGTTTATCTTGCTTCTATGTCAATGATGTGACAATGATAATGGAAAAGCAAGAGGATCCATGTCCTTGGGATGCACTGTGTACAATTCCAAATACGTTGCTCATTGACAAGAACGACAACCCTAACGTGCAGCTACAATCTCCTTGGTTAGCACGAGACGATGATGAGTTTCTGGGTGGATTGACGCATGTTAACCGCAAGCATGTTGATTTTTTGTTCATCGATGATCAAGAACTCATAACGCAAGAGAACTGTGAGAAGTACATGCTAAAATGGCTTTGCTGATTATAACAAAAAGAGATAGTACTATGCGGTCGGTAAAGAACATCAACTCTCTCTCTTTTTTTTTTTACTTTCATGGAATTATATCTACTGCAGAGTGTTTTATTACAATAAGACAAAGTTACGATGAGACCACATCGTGAGTAATGCACGTACAAATGTTGTAAAGATGCACAAAGCATATATGCAGAACCAAGTCAAGTTGGTTTTACAACTCTAATTAAGCAGCTTTGTATTGTGCTGTGTATGTATGTATATATGTTTATATGTTTACTTGTGCCTTAAGTCAATGTAAAAGAGCTTCTCAATCATATCTAAAAGGAGTTAGATTGAATATAATTGTGTCAAGATCCGTACATTTATCAATATGAATAAGATATGACAAGAGTTTCCACGTCCATTAAGAAACCGAGAGTTCGCAGGTTAACCTGTAGCCGCGAAACAGAAACCTAAACAACTCTGTTTTAATTTAGTTGTTTATTTGGGTTAATGTCATTTTTTTTCTTACTATGATTTTCAGTTCCTTTCGAGCCTATAACATGGCCACATGACAGCTATTTTCATGCCACACAAGTCTACAACTATAAGCAGCTTCAAAACCTCTATATCTTACAGGTTTGGTCATAGAATTGTGCTGTGTATGTATGTATGTATCTCTTCAAGGTGGAAAAATAGCGTTACTTGTGCCAGAAGTTACTGTCTTTTAGGTTAGTAATCTTTGAATTCACTGAAAGACACTAAGACAGCTTCTGAATCATCCAGAAAAGAATGGATTAAATAAAAGTGTGTCAAGATCCTTACATATCTCTTTATGATCAAATGATTAAACAAACTGTCTCTAACCCTTTAGGACGATTATAAGATCTCACAAGTTTTTGAAAAGACAAGGCAGATGATATATCACAGATCCCAAGTGTTTCCAAGACCTTGACCCAGAGATTTGATCTGCCAAAAATTTAATCGAGTGTGCCATGAAACACGCAGCTAAGCATCTGCTCGTTGTTGACTCAGTCATCACTGACAACAGCATGAGAAATTTAGGGTCAGAAATATAGACTTAAATGAGAAAAAAACATTGAGACAGAGCAGCAGATTCGACCTTTAAGAGCAACAGCGTTTGATGTTAAGACAAGCATATCTACAATGAAGATCACAGAAACCGGGAACTCCCAAACCTGTAACCAGAATTACATACATTATCACATTAATAGACTTCTATCTAACCTGTAACAAGATTCTGAGACAATGTACATGTAACATACCGGCATAGCAAACAGAAAGATCTTGATGTAACTGGAGATAAAGACCCCCAAAAGAATCTCCTTTCTTCTGCATAACATATACTACTAAAACCGTACTATATACCTTGAAGCACCGATTGATATAATCTTGGACGCAAGTACAAATGAGACAACATATGCAAAGTTTGCAGATAAGACATTAACCAAAACCTGTTCAATGCATTATAATGACTTATTATATCATCCTAATAGACCAAAAACCAATACAGCTTCAAGGAAGAACCAACAAACCTCTAGAGATGCAAGAATAGAGTTCAAGGGCACGCTTGACTCATCATTAGTTCTTCGCAATAGCAAGCTTCTATCTTTAAATTTGTTAAAGCCTCTCCAAAATAATCAGCTCTGTATAGTTACAATGCAAAACAAAACAAAAGGATACAAGTATCTAGAAGAAGATAAGCCAAGACCAACTTCCACAACAGATGCTGCCAAATTGTGAAACCTTCTGAAGATCAGATAACAGAGACCAAACACAGAGTAATGTGTCTAATTCAGTAATAAAGATGTTTAAGCATTCATGAACTGAAATAAAGTGTCTGCTTTTATTATTTTACCTGAACGTAGATAGTTTCTTGAGTGAAAACATTGTAGAGTACATGTCTATAAGCCTTTATTTTGTGAAGAACCAAGTCGATTAATATAATCTGAAAAAATCAAATTTTGATGGAAACCCAAGAAGCAGAAGATCATCAATTGAATATTTAAAAGACAGACCTGTAACATTCCGGTTTGTGGTATTTGAAAAAAGGTTTAAGAGAACTAATTTGGCTACTTATGTAACCAAAGTGCACTTATCTTTTTGGGAGCACATCCAGAGAGAACTCTAGAGTTAAGCGTGTTTGAGCTGGAGTCGTCAAAGGATGGATGATATATCGGGAAGTGATTTGCGATACCGTGTAAGTGAGGCCAAAGCACGGGGAAAGGTCAAGTAGTGATTGCAGGGTCAGTAAACATGACTCTAGAACTTTAGAAAATTAACGGACAGATCGTTGGAACGTGATAGGACCCACGGGCCGAATGAACGGGCGTGGGTGGCCCATTAACTGTGGGCGGTCGAAGCGTTACAAGACCATTAGCTCACACTTGATGTATTCGTCTGCTACTTCGTTGCAATTCTCCTACAAAGATGTAAACTTTTATGCAAAATTTCAGTAGAAATTAAGAACCCTAATTTTAGTTTTCGGCAAAAGCTTACGCATTTTATGAGGCGAAAGTTGTCAGGAGAGTACTGAATCAACAATGATTTAACCTTGTCACCACACTCCAAACACCTCTTCTCTCTCACCATCTTTTCTCTCCAACTCCAAGTTTCGTTTGGTGTCCCTTCTCAGAGTTCGGTGTAGAAAAGTATATATTTGTGGATGTTACCCAGTTTTCTTCCATAATCGATAATTTCAAAAGCAGCTACTTATAAAAAAATACAGTAAAAAATCTATAAATTAATAATGTTAAAACTATAAAATTTTATTAATTTGGAGAAATACTAATTTAAAAAACATTTTTTATTTAAATTTTTTTATTTTAAAATAATTTTAGGGACAATTTTTAAACTACCCTATTTAAGATTGTAAATTTGAAAAATACACTGTTATAATAATATTTTGCAAACTACACTTATTCATGTGTTATAAGACTCTTTTGCCTTTATCTAAATTTGAAATTAAAATAAATTTAATTATCAAAACTAGAAATTAGTTATATTATAATTATTTTGAGATATTTCTGTTGAATTATATTATTTTATAAATGAAATGAATTATACTATTTAAAATTATATATGGATAACTATTGAAATATTTATAGCTGTATCTGTAAAATATATCTTATATAAAAATTATTAGTAAATTTTTTTATTGTATTTTGTATTAAATAATTTGGAACTAAAAAATCTCTTATTTAATCATTAAATTTAAAAGAGTTGGGTATAAAAACCTAACCGAGAACATAATATATGATATATTATTTGAATTCTAAGAGATTAAAAAGAGTCAAAGAGTTTGCGACATAGATAGAACATCCATTACATAAATATGTCAAAATATTGTGAATGTTTTTGTTGAGTTTATAAGAAACATTATGTATTATTTTCTATACTGACCCATACTTTTGATGAAATAAGAAAACTGCGGTGATTATTAAATGAATCTAAAAGTCTAAATTATAACAGAAAATCATCAAGTTCCCAAGTTACATATTAGCATGATTGTGTCTTCCTCCTCAGATACAAAAAAAAAACTACAATGAATAAAAATGTACGAAAATCTAAAAATTTGAGATGCAAAAAATATTGAATTTCAGAAGTTTTTGTTGTATAATTTAACAAAACACATAAATGATTATTTTTTTTATTTCTATTAATTTTTATTTAAGGATTGAAATTATTATACCCTTAATTTGGGCAATTTAGTCACTTCAAGTATTTAATAAGTGTAGTTTTCAAACACTAAAATATGTGGTGTAGTTTTCAAAATATATTCTCATTTGAGGGTATTTTTCCAAATTTTCCCATAAAGGTATTCTAAAATAAAATAAAAATATATTTGATTTTACTATATAATTATTAATCCTTCCTGTTCTTTAGGGATTGATAAAAAAACTACCATGCATCCTAATCCTTCCGGTTCTTTAGGGATGGATAAAGTCTCGTCATCTTCTCTCATATATCAATAAAGATCGAATGTAGATGCAAATAGTCTTTTAGTTAAAAGTTTTGGAATGCTTAGAGCATGTGTAATGGTTAGAACCCATTAGGGGTTCTATTGATTAGTTTAATTATTAATTTTGTAATTTGTGAAATTTAGAACCTTTGCTAATGTATTAAATTTGTGATGGTCCAATGGGAGAACAATTCTTACAAATTATACATTTAAAAAAAAATAGAATTGAATTGACTTGGTTAAGAGTTTTTTCGTCTAGCTTTAAGTTGTTGTTTCATAGATTTTTCAATAGTAAATACACATTACAATTAGCTACTTCTAATGGAAAGAGAGAAGTAACTGAACATTCTTAATCTAACTATATTAAAAGAAGCATATAAAGCCTTCTAAACGTGTCCACGTCGGATGGGAAATTCAGACCAATCAGAGATTAAATTTCTGCCATGTCATGCGGTTCCTTTGCTCATCACCAAATTTAATGGACCTATTCATGTAAATATTTTCTGGCATCCCATCAGCCCAACTCTCTTTTATAATGTTTAACCTCTTCCATTTCTTCATCCTCGCCGATTGATTTCTTCAAATCTTAGTGATTCACTTTCAATCATTTAATCCTTCTTTACTCTTTCCTTAACGGTGTCTCCTCCTCCTCCTCCTGCCGCGACGTCAGAGAAATGGAAGAGGTCGTCTGTCATGGTGTTGGATCACTTGAGAGAGGAAGGTCCACAGATTATGACGACGAAGATTGGATACCGTTCAAGTTTTCCGTCTTTTAGGTATGGAACTTTCTATCAATCGATTTCTATTTGTTGATTGTAGATTTGAAAATAGGATGTTAATATCTTTTTATTTTTTGTTGCTTTGTGCTACAGAAGCATGTACGTCTATGAAGAGCAGTCCCTTTTCCGAGAAAGAATTTTTAAAACTATGTCATCATCGACGAAAATGTAAGCAGTTACATTCACAAACACTTTTTTCTCTTTATTTTTGATTTTTGTTTGGCTCAATAGCTTTTTCAAAACTTTTCTTTTAACTAAGTATTGGTGCCACATTCCTTTGTCTGCTCGAGCTATGGTTCTACATGGTGCTGAATACTGTTTTATCTCACTGCTTTTGGCTGTGAAGTTCAAGACGAGGGAATGGATTCACGTGATCATTGGAGTAGACTCATGAAAGGGCATACTGGAGATAATATGGTGAGCTATTAGGTTTAATCTCTGTTTATTTTCAAAGCCTCTTAGTGTCATCTTGCTTGACTTCGATCTTTGATTACACTTGGAGTGGCTTTGATTACAGGAGGTTCTTAAGAAATGCCACGTTGGAACCATTGATTAGGTGAGTTTGATTTGAATTAGTTATGGGGAAAATTATCGGACTCAAGTTTCAGAGGATGATAGGAACTAGTGAATGCTTGCTTGCGTTTCTTCAGTCTCAGTCTGCTGATACGGAGGCTTCACGAGGACATAGAGGAAGTGCACAGCTTCGTGTTGAAGTCTTTATGACCTTATGGATACTTGTGGTTGAGAGGTAAACGACGCCTCCGTTCCTTAAATATCGATTTTTTTTTTTTTTTGTGTTTTCATACATTGCTTCAAGTCTTAAGGGTTTCATACATTGCTTTTCTCCCATTTTGGCACTTCTGGGTTCTATTAAGAATATGATTCTTTTTGTAGATTGGTACTGCTGATGTATTGGCGTTTTTTCTACCTGGTGTTGTAAGCCAAATTGCCAAAGTATTGCATGTTTCAAGAGCAATGATAAGTGGAGCTGCAGGAAGCGTTGATGCACTGGACTAAGAAATTAGAGGTTTAGCCGAGTTTCTCATAGATAGTCCTTGAGGATGAGGCTAATTCATCTGCTCTCGGTATTCCTGATGATGATACTAAGTTGCAGAAGCATGAATATGTGCACTCAGTTTTGGACGAACTTTGTTCTCTGACAATGAAATCTCAAGGGCAGAGCAACGAGCTCCTGACAGAGACTGCAACAAGAGCCAAATAATTCTAATGATTAGTAACCATTACAAGTATAAATGATTTCAGAAACACGATTAGAAAAACAAAACCCGAATTAGTAATACATCACTGTGGATTTTTTTAACGTATTTATGTCCATCAGTATAATAAACATCATAGGAAAATAGAATACAAAAAACAGTTGTGCACCACACCAAAATAAAAGTATGCGAATTCAACAAAAAAGGAAAAAAAAAAACAAAAAAATGGAAATTCATATGCAAAATTCAAAGTTTTACAATCTTAGTTAATACACATTTATATGGACTATAAAATTATAAACTATTTTATAATTATAAAAAATATTTGTTAAAGAAAAAATTAGAAATTCATATTAAAAATTTTAAACCAACCACAAAACATTAAAAGAAATATCATGCAAAATTGGTCAACATATAATTACTTAAGATTTTATAAAATTAAATGTAAACTCAAACAAACAATTAACATAGTAGTAGACATGAAAAAGATGTCTTTTTGTCAGCAAAAAAATGTTAAAAATCAAAATACACAATCCCGGTTTAAACACAACTGAATGGTACCCACAAAAAGATTATGTTTCATATACGCACTTGAAGACAGCAACAGAAAATGATATGATGACTTAGTGAAGTCGTAACAAGGTAGCCGTAGGGGAACCTGTGGCTGGATTGAATCCTTCCCGATGGAAATGCACTCGACTCAAAGGCGCGTAGCGTATTCCAAGTTTTAAAGGTATGGCAACGATATTCATTTGTCCATTGTGTCGACAGAAAATATAAATTCTAATTTTTTTCTAAGTCAATTTTTCATTTATCATGCAAATCCAGTTATGTGTTTGTCATAGGCTGTTCTCAACTCTGACAGTGCTATGTACAATAGAACTTATCTCAAGTTGTCGAAGTATTTCCTAACTATCTATAACTCTTTGGATAAAGATGAGACACTAAGAAAGCTGATACATTAGGTATGTTTCCACACACTATCAAGCAGCTAAGAAAGTTTGCAAGTTATCAAGGTAACTATCTTATTATACAATCATGTGCCAGATATGGCTTAAACATATTTTCTTCATTTTTTATCTGTCATATCTCTTTACATGTAGTGTTAGATAGATTGCTAAGTAGTCATCTCAGAATCTAAATTAAGTAAAAATAGATTATAGTCATAAGAAAATATATTATAAATTATTAAATAGCATATAAATCAAAACATAAACATGATAAAAATAATACATTTGAAAAATAAATATGTTATGTTTAGATCAATAAAATATTCTCATAAGAACCTAAGGAAATTTTTTTTTTGAATAATAATTAAGGTTTAATAAATTTTTTATTCATTTCACATTCGTACACCGTACCATACATATTTTAGATAATAGAAACAATAAATTATGAGTTTTAGTCATTTCTAATTCAATTTACTATTTATATTGTTATATCATAGAAGTAATACATTGTAATATAGATATTAAATACAATGCTATTGTATGAACCCGGGCGTAGCCCGGGTAAAATCTCTAGTAATCATAAATTTCTTGTATTTAATAACAGCTTGTATATTTAATTAATACCAAACCAAATCATAATAAAATGAACTGAATTAAATTTAAACTAATCAAACTAAATTGACTA